TGTGTGTGTGTGTGTGAGAGAGTGTGTGTGTGTGTGTGTGTGTGAGTGAGTTTGTGCATGTGTGTGTGTGTGTGTGTGACTGTGTGTGTGTGAGTGTGAGTGTGTGTGTGTGTGTGTGTGAGTGTGTGTGTGTGTGTGCGTGTGCGTGTGCGTGTGTGTGTGTCAGACAGAGATTTCCCCAGCGATATGGCAGCTTTTCATCACACTCATCCACAGGTCACACCACCTCTGATGCTTTTATCAAATAACGACACTGAAAGCTATTAACCGTCTTAAAGGAAGCGGAAACAGTCTTCAGCAGCGCGAGCAGAATGTGAGTGTGTTTAGGTGGTTTGTGTGTGTGTACCTGTACTGCAGGGCCAGTCTGAGCGCGGTGGCGTTGGACTCGTATTTCCCCACCAGCATACTCATCCGCTCGGCGTTAGTCTTACACTCCTCCAGCGTGATGGTCAGCAGATCGTTCTGAGACTTCAGGTGCTCTATACGACTGAAACACACACAGCAATCATGATCAGATGCACAGGGTCCCTACATAGTGTTCACTGCTCCCTACACACTCAGTATAGGGATATCTGAAGATGTTCACTTCAGCTGACAAAACACATTCGTTTGGGACGGTCTGCAATGACAAAGACAACACTTGAGTATTTTCTGTATAATGCAATTTCAGTAATATTTATATACTATTATAGCATTTATTAATATTTTGAAGTAGCTTTTATTTTAGTTTGTCGTTTTTATTGTTTTTTTTTTATTATTTCTATTAAGCTTATAATTTCATAATAATTGTTTGAGTCTGTCATTTTAGTAATTCAATGCAAACTTTAAAAACTTAAACTTATTTAATTTGAATGAATTTTATTTACGTTTTAGTCATATTTTTATGCATGTTTGTCAGTTTTATTTGTTTTTTTAAATATTTCTATTTAGGTTATTTTTATTTCAGTTTGAGATTTAGTCATTTAAGTACTTCAACATTTAATTTAATTTCAATTACATTTGAATTTGAATTTTTTAGAATTTTTCTTAGTTTTAGTTTTTAATATTTCTATTTAGCTTATTTTATGTTTTGTTTAGTACTTCAACATTTTAGTCATGTTAGTACTTCACCTTCAACTTAATTTCATTTTATTTGTTTTGGTAATTTTATTATCTGCTTTTGTCATTTTGTTAGTTTTTTATATTTCTATGTAACTTTAATTTATTTCCATTTCAGTTTGGGTTTTAGTAAATGTTTTAATTAAAAATAAGAAATTAAATAAATTTAAATTAAATAATTTAAAGTAGTTTTTTATTTAATATTTTATTTTATTTCAGCTTTATTTCAATTAACAAGAACATTTAGTAAATAGTTGTAGTTAGCAATAACACCACTGGTATGATGTGGAAATATTCTCTGCGGAGACACACGTAACTGAGTGAAGTTCACTTCGAGTGATTGGAGTGAATCCTATGGTTCAACAGCAGATCTTCTCGCTCTCTAACCTGTTGAGTCTCTCCGTCTCCACCTCGAACTCGCGGATCTTGCTCTCGGAGATGGCGGATCCGTGCGAGTAGAGCGTCTGGAAGATCTCCTGGATGTTGGAGCAGTCCTGAAGGGAATGAGCCAGGTGTTCAGCCACGTTACTGGACACCTGAGGAGACACACAGAAACAACACTAAACCAGCAAATCAGTGCCTTCGACACCGCTGTTATTGCACTCAAACCCTGATACTCCTCTCACTGCATTTCATTTGTCTTCCCCACAATGTCTTGCAACTCATTCAACTCACCCCGATGCTGCTGATTTCAGAGCCGAGGACGGATCTCTCCGCTGGGAGTGATTCGGAGCGCGTTTTCGACAGCTTCACTCGCTCCGCCACCTGCCAGAAACAAACACACAAACAAACAAACAAACACACACACACACACACACACACACACACACACACACACACACACACACACACACACACACACACACAGACACACACACAGACACAGACACACACACAGACACACACACAGACACACACACAGACACACACACACACACAAAAGAACAAACAAACACACACACACAAACAAACAAAAACACAGTCAAACATACAGTATGAGCATTATAAAGTGCAGCCTTGTTTAAAGCAATAATTCAGTTATTTTATATCAACCTGTGTGAGTTTTTTTTCTGCGAAACACACAAGGTACATTTTAACTTAAATTCTGACCCTCATTTCAAACAACAAAACTTAAGGACTGCAGCTGTTAAACTCTACAATGAAACAATACAAAGCATCACATAACATAAAAGCATCAAACCACTGAAAAAAAGAAATAATAAAATAAAATAATAAAAATTTAAATTAAATCCACTATCACTATTATGCTCTTGATCAAGACACTTAAACTTAATCAAATAAAATGAAAAAATAAAATAATAAAGTAAAATCTACTATCACTCTTATGCTCTTGTTCAAACTTAAATAAAAAAAAATGTATTACTATTATGCTCTTGATCAAGGCACTTAAACTAAAAATAAAACAGAAAAATAAAAATAATAAACAAAAAAATGAAAATAAATAAATAAATATACAATTAAATGTATAAAAATAAAAGGAAATCCCATAAACATTTTTTTATTTAAATAAAATAAATATTAAAAAAAACTTTCAGCTAAAAAATATCAGGCAAAGCGACATTTCTCATTTTAATTTAGTTTAAGATGTACTAAAATAACTATAACTGAAAAAGATTTTTAAAAAGTTAAAGCTGCAGTCCGTAAGTTTTGCCTCTTTGTCGCCATCTCTGTTTGAAAACCTGCAATATCAGCTTTGTGCGGAATGATCTAGCTTGCGTGGGTTGTGCTCCGGCGCGGCTCCAGCGCGGATGAATCTAATGTTTAGAGGAGTATGTGTGTGTGGCAGTCAGTCTCCGCACCGGTGTGAATCCTGTACTTAGTAATCACTGATTCTAGCCTATGTCTTGTAATATACAACCCAAATAAGAATTTTCACCATATATTGTCATCTGAACAAGTAACAAGTCTGCCACGTTTGTTCTGACCAACTGAGGATAAAAGCATTACAATAAATCTCGCTACCAATGGTGATTAAATCTAAATGAGCTCATATCACATCAAACTGTGCAAATTATTATTATTGTTATACGGTGTTCTCAAATGATTAATGTTAACAACATCAGCATTGGTGACTATGAGTATAGTGTGTAGATTTCAATTTCTGCACAGTCTAATCTCTAATCGTCATACCACTCGAATTTCATATTAAGAAATTCTTTTAACCAAACTACGCTCCCTTTGAACTGGTTTTCTTTCAAATACAAATCTTGTGTAATCCCAGGCTATCTGTAATCAGAAGCACATTTAAAACGGGAATATAATTTAATGTCATTCACATGTGTTTCATAAACACATTGTCCTTTCTGGATTACAATCCGCCATCAAAATTATACATTTAATTATTCTAGCTGCTGTGAGAAAAGGCTATAAACGATCGGCCACCTGCAGCATCCTCACATGCGATAGTCTAGTACCCCGGGAAAACTTCTTTATGTTTACAGACGTGACGTAATGACGCAGTGCCATGCTCGAATTTCCCGCGAAAACCTACCTGTACCACTCAAATTAGAAAACATTATTATAAGCTAACCGTTGTGAATCGGGCTAAAGGCGATAGTTTTGAACACTGGCTGGTTATGTACTTGTTCAGATATTGATTTCAGATCATTTTTAACCAAAAAAAGTTTAACTTTAACTAAAATGAAAAACTATTTAAAATATTTTTATATCATAACTGAAATAGAATAGATTAAAAAAATTATTTATTTTATTTCAGCTAGTTGCCAAGTCACCATCTTTCATTTTCATTTAGTTTGTACTAACTTGTACTAAAATAAGCGCTGGGTCAATGAGTGCACTGAGGAACAGAAATCAACCTTTCCTGAACTGCAGTGAAATAAATGTGCCTCAGAATTGATTTTCAAGGGCATTTTTGTTGTGAACACACTTGTGTTTGTAGCGGGCAGCGCTCGGGTCAGCCATCCCAGAGCGGCATCTGCGTGATGTTGGCAGCGATTGTGAATTTCTCAAGGCAAATAAAGCTTTTCCTGCCAGTGGAAAAGCTGCCAAAGGACAAATAAAGGACTGAATCCTGAACGAATGCACCTCACACACACCGACACAACATCAGACTGAGCTCAGTGCTCTCAACGCCTATAGAGCTCTTAAGTGTTATTATTATTACATGAGCCGGATGAATAACTGATTCAGAACACATGGAATCTGAGTTTACAGATCATTCACAAAGTTACCTGACAATCAATAGGAGTGTAACCTCATTTTACAAAAAAAAACAACAACAAAAAAACCTCACAAAACATCTACAGGTCACATTAACAAAAAAAACATATATGAATAAATACATAAATCTACAGGTCACATTTAAAAAATGATACAAATAAAATAAAATAAAAAAATATATATTTAAATCTCAAAAACATCTACAGGTACCATTTAAAAAAAAAAAAAAAAACAGGTCACATTTAAAAAATAAAATAAAATCTTTATATAATTTGAAGTGAAATGTGCACAATATAATATAATATATTGTACCATCTCCAGCTTAAACGGCTAACACATGAATCATTATCTGTGTTCTGTAATTCATTCTTCATCTTTAATTATTGCCTCCTTCTCAAGTTTGTTTGACAGTTGGATTGTGTGTATGAGTTGTGTATGAGCTGGTATTGATTTGTTGGTTTTGTGTATAGTATAATTTTAAGGCGGATGTTTTGTTTTTAGGAATAGTGTGAATGGTATATGTATTTTAGAGTATGTAAGTATTATGTATTGATTAATTCTTTATATTTTTAGGGTGACAATTTTACCATCAGTCCAGGGACTGCAGATGCAAAATAGCCTTCTGGCTAATTCTGGCACATTGTGCATTTATGTATTGTTGATGTGCATTGTCCCTGTCAAATAAACCTGAAAATAAATAAATAAATAAGTATTATGTAAATGCATATCTCTTTATTTATACAGCTGTATATAGAGTAAATAATGCACAAATCTGTACATAAATCTACTGTTCCAGATTCATACACATTATTA